AACATCTGCTTAAAGAAAATTTTTCAGGGTCACGCAAAATTTGGCCAGATAATACTAACCTATATGTATTATTATTATTAAATATCTTCATATGTATATTTAAAATTAACAAGACACTTACTTGTAAGTTTTAACTTTTTGTGTTGGCTCTAACCCTAAGGATACTATTATTTATATAAAATATCAGTAATTTGTTTGAATGGGTAATTTTGTATCATCGAACACAAAAGTTTATAACGTAATTTTGTTAGAAAGAGATATTATAAAAACCATTTAAAAAATATATATTATATATTAATTGATTAAATGAAATTTATATGCATTTGGACCAATTTTGAAGAGAAATTGGTAGAATAGATAAAAATTGAAAAGGTGATGGATCATCTATGACTATTTAATATGGCCCTTTAAGTCACTTCTATCCCACAATAAAATTATTAAATATTAAATACATATCAAAGTATCTAATTTTAAATTTTAATTAAGTGTTTCGATTCAATTATTGTACCTTCCTAATAATAATGATATATTTAATAGACAATTGCGAGTAACAGTTTATAAAGAAAAATAAATTGGTTATCCTCGGAGATTACATATATAGAAATCGTAGTAGGATATGGAATCCGTTGGGATTTGGAATGGCACAATTTCATATCATTTTCAGGGGAGATATTTAAATTTAAAATGCCCAATTTGACAGGAAATCTATTCCAGTGTTGTGTGGAATATTCCAGACGGTATGTTTTGGTCAATTTTTTCCGGCGAACCTTTGAACTACTTCTTAAATTTATATTAAATTTTACAGAATTTGGGTATAAAATATTTAAAAAAATACAACTAAAGTTAATAACAAAAATTTATGACATATTTAGGGTAAGGTAGTACTCTAGATATGCTGGAATATATTACCCGAGATCATAATTTTTCAAATTTAAAATAAAAATTCCTTTAGTAAATGATTTTAAGTTTGAAAAGCTTCTGAATTCCTATCAATTCCATATCTCCCAATATGGCATTTCATCGATACAAATTTATTTTTGTCACTATAAGGAAGTAACTACTTTAACGATGTGGGTGCTCATTATAAGATGCTGATCGTTATTATTATTTTAATACCAAATAGGTCATGAATATAAAAAGGTGTTCATTTCTTAAAATTTAGTTAAACTTAAAAAAATTTTTAATTTTTCAAATTTCCTTCTCTTTTCTTGTAAATTTTTAAGACAGTTTAAAATAATTATTTGTAATTAATTTTTGTTAAAAATCAATGCTCTCGAGTAAAGCTATTTTCACACAAAATACGGTTTGAAAATTGATGCAACTTTTTGACCCGTAACCTTGGATGATTCTTTGGCGCCAAATGACCACACTATCCTTGCATCTTCAAGCCTAAAGCTTTTCGCTGGAATGTTCTCCAAATCTATAAAAAATCACTTAAATTTAAGAAAATGTCCCAGGAATAATGAAAGATATTCAATCATTTTTTAAAAATAAGAATTCGACAGGAGAGCTATATATATCTCCAAGATATTAATACGCTAAACATCTACTCAAGCCATATTCTCGTTAAAAAATTTCTCAATATAATTTTAAATTGGAATATTCCATCTTCAACTTCTCCTTATCTTATGTGGGGCGCGACTTATTGCTCTTTAAAAAATAGGTGGCAATTGTGTCTATCTTTCATTAAATTATATCTAAATTAATATGTTCCAGAAAATTAAAGATTCTTTTTCTAATATTGTAAAATCCCGCCAAATGGCATTTGACATTCGTGCGGGGGAGGGGGGGGGGGTTAATACCGCATCTAATGTGTTTTCTAGAGATTCCCGCCAACTTTTTTAAGAAATTATATTTCAAAAAATCATGTATTTCATCAAGAGATTTGTTCAAATAACACTGAATATTCGAACTTTTTTCAAATTCAATAATCGGGCTTTATTATGGCTGGAGATGATAGAGAAACCTTAGGTCCAACCCTATTATGTTTAGGGATAAATAGTGCAATTTCTAATAATATATCCGATTTATCGCTTAGCTTTTCTGTCTATCTACATCGGCCTTCTTTTCAATCTAATCCTACCTCCCACGAATGCCTCAATATAAAACTGTTCACCCCATACGACAAAACCTATCCTTAGTCCTCAACACCTAGGACCAACTATCTATCTCATATCAAACTAAACTCAAATATACGTAAGATTGGGATTCTCCACTTGTTTTGCCCGTTCCGCTGAACCAGTAAACTCCCAAATCAATCATTTTTAAAACGAGAGGAATGGCTTGAGGCAATACCCGGTTCCAGCCCCTAGTTGGTTCTTTCTACAGAACTTAGGATCTCCATGGCACTCCTCTCAGATTTTTAGTCATCCCTTTTAGATACATATTTTTTTTGAGTCATTCCTTTAATTATTTTTTCTTAATATTATACACCCCATAATTATACAAATTTATTTTATATTATAATTGTTTTTTTATTATCATTATATACACATTATAAATATTTTTAAATCGAAATGGTTTTTTAAAATAAAACACTTAAATAGGTAAAATAATTTGATTTTCTTCAAAATTATTTCAATTTCTTTTTATTTTTCATTTTATTAAACATTTAGAGAAATTATGAATTAAACTTAGTATAATTAAATTTCAAATTTTCAATAAAACATTTGATTAATTTATTATAAATGTGTGTTATATAAATAGGAAAATAATATTTTAGAAAAGTCGGAGCAGGGAATCAACCAGCGTAAATCTTTGAAAAAGTGTTTTCTGCCAGGCCAATAAAATATTTTTCCTACCGCGATAATTTTTATACATAAGAAAAAAAAAGATATAAATTTGCTTAATTTAAAACGTAATTTTTTTTTAAAATTAACTTCCTACCTAGTCCTTGAAAAATATTTTGCGTAATATAGGTCCGAAAGAGGCAGAGACTTTATACGGATAAAATATGATCTGATCACAAAAAAAGGACGATAGTTGGAGAAATGATTCTCCAAATTGCAAATCCGATCCGCGGACCTAGCAAAAAGATTTTACGGAATGGGCTGAGAGCGGGGGAAAAAATAATGACGTAAAATATTTTAAAGAAAATTAACGTAGCCCAAGCCGCCGAAAAACTCTTTTAAAAATGTTTTTTTTGGCCCCAAAAAATATTTTACAAACCAGGAGCCAAAAAACCTTTTTAAAAATTTTTCACGGATAGCTCTGGTCCCGACGGCTTTTACTTTCAAATAGTTTGTAAATTTTATCTATATATATATATATTCATAATATTATTTCTAAACAAAGTTGGCAAATTACCTTTTAAATTATATTTGACTCCTAAAATTCTGCGAAATATTAAAATTTTTTATAATTATTGACAAGCACTTTGATTAGAATTAAATTACATATAAAACTATATTATGCATTCATTTATAGATATAAATTCTGTTATATTTACTATCATATAATACAAATAAAAATTAAAATTGTCATTAAAAAAAAGAATTATTATCGAATTTGGGCTATATTTAACAAATATCAATCAATTAACCTAATTGTATTTGACGAGTTCAACCCTGCTAAATTAATTATGTCGCAGATAATTGTTTTATAAACAATATAAAACAAACTGTTATTTTTTGTCCCATCTATACATTTTTATTTAAATACATTATTCACCACAATATTTATTGAGGAAATTTGGCGGCCGTTCTAATGAAAAGTCATTTTTTTAAAAAATTAGCTTATAATGGACATATATATAATATATATATATATATACTGATCAATAAAAAACAAAATCTCAGTTTTTCATAAACTTCTTCAAAAATTTTTTATAGTAGGAGAGAGGGGTGGGGGGTATATATATAAGACAATTTTATATTTACGAAAATGGTGGGAAAAAGAGCCTTAACCTTTTGAATGTATATTAAATATTATCAAATTTTAAAAAAAAATTCAGGTTAGTATTTATCAATGGCGTATAATAATACCTAGACTGATTCATTAAAAGTGTACATCAATGAAAAACAGCTGGAGACGCCATATTGATTACCCATCTCATTATTAAAAATTTTAAACAAAAGGCCAATTTATTCCTATGTCTGACGCAAACTTTATTAATGAATTGCCCGATCATCGAGATAATAAGGAAGCGAGTTATCAATTTAATAGTAGTTTTTAACATGAAAATAATTACTATATGTGTATTACCAAAATGGCGGATCCAGCTGATATACCTTCAACGACGCTTTCAAATGCATCGTCAGTCTAGGTATTATTATATGTCATTGGTATTTATTTACATTTAAAAGCTATTTGAAAAAAATAAATACCATAATAAAATTGTATGCATAATTATGCGGCGTAATTTTGCGAACAAATTGAGCGTTTCAAACGATGCGTTTTGCAAGCAGCAATAATGGTCTTTCGAATGACCTCGCGCAAATCGGTTACCGTTTGGCGTTAGCAACTAGTGTTGTTAAACGGCTCGATTTGAGCCGGTTTTTAAAAACGGCTAACTCATTATATTATCCAGAAAAATATTCCTCAAGCCTGAAGATTTTCTTCATAGATGGCTCAAGGGTCTAGACATCTATCAACGAAATCTGGAGCCTTAGACAATATTTATTTGGCTAAAATATTGAGTCAGCCGTTTTTTAATATCAACCATTTTAAAAAACGCAGACAGGTTTTGCATTTTCAATACTTTTTTTTTATTCTTCGTTTGGTAATATTATATTAAAAATGTAAAATATAAATAACTTACTAAAAAGGAATATTTAGAAAATTAAAGAAATATAAAATGCAGACGATAATATAATTTTCTTCTGCTTAGAAACTTATTTAAAATTTCGAATCGACGGATATTAATAAAAAGACAAATGAACGCATTACGTTTTTTTATTTAAATTTTGAAAATTACGGCAAAACGTAAACGCTCAATTTGTGCGCATTATTACAGATGCGATGGCATTTTTTTATATTTATTTCTTGATTTGAATATTTTCCTTTTCCATTTTTCTTTTAAATTTTAGTATTACACATTTATTAAGTAACGTAATGAATTAATATAAATAACAATTGTAAATGAGTGCGTATATAATATAAACTCTATAATTATCTAAATTCCATAGTTTTCTTATTATAAAATTGGTGTGTGGGTGAAGGGACATTGAAACTTAGTTAAGTGACAAAAATTTTTAAAATTAAATATTTCACAAAAAAATGGACTGAAAAATGTTGTCAAAATATTATATATCAAACAAGACTGTCTAATATGCTTCATATCATATATTATCAAAAATTTCTGTGCAAAAATATATATTTTATAAGTTCTTTTACAAAACAAAAAAATAAGGAATGAACGGAAATGGAGCTGTTAAGAATAGGCATGCTCCATTAATCCCGGAACAAAAATATGAATGTACGTCGAATGGGAAAATAAACCAATATGATACATTATATCAGTTAAAATAATATTGAGTGGTATACAAAATACCACTCAAAAAGATTTTTGATACTTTTTTTCTTCTTCTTAAAGTTATTAAATTGGATTTTGGGGAGATGGCGAATTAATTATAGGTATCGGGAAATAAATACTTATCATGTATGCGAGTGTCATTTAAGAAGAAGAAAAAAAAGGGGGGTGTAAATGTTAGTGAAGGATGGATGATCTAAAGGATGAAAGTCTTTTATATATATTTTATAAAGTTGCAACCCGCGATTTTATATATAATATTCATACATAAACTTTGGTTTTTTTGATAAATCCACTTAGAATTTTATATAATACATTATATTCATTCACTCAGCACGCCGGTCTTACGACCCGTCCTAAGATCACGTCATACATATATCACGTTGCGATAAACTTTCGTGACCATAAGATAGTTTAATTTTGAGGAATATTTTGTCGGCGAGAAAAAAAAATTAATAAATAAATAACAAAATTTTTAATGAATCTTCTGGTGAAAATTTTTTTCTTCTTTCTCTTCTTCTTGAATTTATCGGTTAGGAATTTAAGGCAAAGTGAGAAAAGAAGGATTCATTCTCATAGGATGAATGTGAATCTTCTTGAATTTATCGGTTAGGAATTTAAGGCAAAGTGAGAAATGAAGGATTCATTCTCATAAGATGAATGTGAACCTAGTAAGCTTAAACTAGAAGACCTCTTTCGACGGGAAAAATCATTTGCACAATCTTTCGGAGTTTTTTCTGTAAAATAAAAATAGAAAGAAATGAATGATTAATATATTATATAAAACATAATGTGCAAATTATACGTAATCATGAAGTGTCAGTTAAGGGAAAGGGGAGGGGGTGGAACCTTTTATTTGGGGGGCCAATATTTTTGGGGAGATTATTTTTCTTTCATAAGTTATTACAAACAAATTTGGGGAGGTCATGTTTGGGGATCGACCATTTTTTTTGAGGGAGATAGGGGGGGGGGGGTACCCTAACTCAGTGTAAGGAGCTGATATAATCATTTTGAAACTCTGTCCTTATTTAACCAGATTAAAATGAAGAAAATATACGATAAATTAGAAGTCTCCATGGCTGGTAAAGTAATTTTAGCAGCCGGGCGGGAAAACTGTTAAATAAAACCGTGGCCAGAAACCTCGTATAAAAAAAATTAACGAATTCGGGTTTAAATATTCTTGAAATAATTTTAACTCAATCTAAAATGATTGGATTTTACCGATTAAACCGCCATGATCTTTAAACACTGAATCTCGGTGGGTTAATATGATTATATAAGAGATATTTTTAGACTTTATTTTGTAATGGCTAAAATAATCGCTAAATGTTACTCTCGATCCGTTTCCCAGAATTCATTCCCGGGTTCGTGACAAAATCCTTTTCGTATTTTTCCTTACAATTTTGGCCCTCGCTTTCCGCTACAATCTTAGAATCAATCGTTGTTTCTCCGCTTGGCTCGACCAAAGATTCGGTCTCCTGATCCTTAGTGCCATTCGTCATTAAGAGTGAGGATGGATTCCTTATCGAAACGATGGAGTCATCGTAGAATACACCGAACTCGCTCTGGACGGATGGCCTCTTCAGAGCGTTAGACAGAACGGAAAAACGCTTAAGCAAGTAAGGGAACGAGGAGGTAATATCGGAATGGCTAGAGAGAAGGACGAAAGAATTGGTGGTGCCACTGGACCTACGCCTGTTAGCCAAATTTTTTACTTCGGCCGTGAAGACTAATTTGACCTGGAAGGTTACAAACATAAAAATATATATATAGATATGCGCGGCCCATTTTTGAGGCCTTAGAACGCGGTCAATTATTTAAATCAGGCAGGCGCCTTGCCGATACGGAAAACGCGACATTCTAATATAAATGAATTGGAATAAGAATGCCATATTCTTTCTTATCGGAAAAAGTTTATCTAGAATAAATGGACACTGAACCAAAATACCCTAATCGAAAAAAAAAAACAAATTAAATGCCTTTAAAAAAGAGTGAAATTTTTAAAAATTACTGCTTTTTTTTAAAAAAGCATTTTAAATTTTAATCTAAAGTCGAGATTTTTTGTCCCGACGTTCGTCTTGTATTCCGTAAGCATTATTTTAGTGTTATTAAAGTAGGTTGTTGGCATTTCTTTGGGATGTAACAACAAAAGAAACTGGTTAATTTCCCAGTCACTTTAAGGATATCTTAAAATCTAATGGAGGTCTAAAAAGTTTCCTGTGGTTTGGGTCTAGAATAGGGTCACCGTCGTCTCCTCAACGGAGTGTAAAAACCACCTAAATGGGGTTGATGTCAGGAAGGCCACCCGATTGTAAAAACCTTGCTACAAAATTTTCTAATGATTAAATCAGAAAGAAAACTGGCCAAGGGTAAACCACCTGAAAATCGCCATTAAACGGAGAAGAAGATATATTCTCTTCTTTTTTGGAGAAAAAATAGTAAGTCTTTTAGACACCAAATATAGCTAAAGTCAAATAGAAATTCATTAAGTCTAATTTTAAATAAATAAATAAATAAACTATTATACCCAGGCCCGTGCTAAAGAGGACATGTCTCTTGGCAAACCAAAATAATGACTATTTAAAAGGGGGTCGCTAACTTTTATTTCTCATTGAAATTGTAATTTTAAATTACTACATAAATTATGCTTAACATTTACCTAACTTCAGTCATTAATTTACAAAAAAAATTTTAAAAATATGTTTCCATTAAATATTACCAATAAAATTTATGTTCTAGGCTGCTCATTCACGTATCCCGTTTTTTTTAAATGGTGAAGCTAAGCCTGGCTATTATTATATAATTTTTTTTTAGATATAACTGTCTTCTCAAAGTTGCCAGAAGCCAGCACGGTTCCTGTACTACATTGTCGTATATTTTTTTATTTTCATTATTTAATAAAGTATTTCCATTTATATCTCTTCTAGTGTTTGTTCAATTACCTAACCTTGACCCTCTTAAATGTGGCTCAGTCAATCTTTTAGCCTAAAAAAATTGAATTAAGTCTCTAAGTTTGAATCTCAACTTGAAGATTGATTGGAATATTTTTGGTTGAAAACATGTCTATGCTCTTAGTTAAATCCCAAAATTAAGTTTGCATTTAATAAAATAAAAAATATATTTTGAATGTTTAATCATGCAAATAAACGGCTCGATTTGAGCCGGTTTTTAAAGCCGGTTTTTAAAAAACGGCCAACTCGGTATTTTATCCAAAAATTAAATAACGCAAGCCCTGAAGATTTTGCTCATAGATGGCACGAAGGTTTGGGCATCTATCAGGGAAATCTCGAGGCCTTGGCAATATTTTTCTGGATAGAATCTTGAGTAAATCGGCTCAAATCGAGCTGCACTGTAACTAATAACTATAGTCGGATAACCAGTTACTTTTCAAAAGTAACGTTTAACAACACGAGTATTTTTGACTGGGATACTTTTGTATAAGAGGGGTTTTTTTTTGTTACAGAATTTAGATGTTCTTAAAATTTTCGGAAAAGGAAAGATGATCAATCAAAATTTCGGCATCTTTTAGATGCTAGCCAAAAAAAAAATTTAGAGTTCCAGAAAACAAGCACACCTAAGTGGAAAGATTTTCTCTATCGGTGAGTTGACGTTGAATTCAAGAATCGTCCTTCATGACAAGTAAATTTGAATAAAATTATTTTAGGGTATAGTTTATTTTTACGTTAAAAGAAATCAATTACCACGCTGATTCGTGTCACCTTTGATGTCGGTAATTAAAGGGCAACGCGCCGCCAACCGCTGATTTGGATTTTTAAGACCGCTCTGGCCGCCGGTACTTTTTCTTCGGCGTGCAGCGGTATATATATACACACTTATAATATTAATATTATCTTGAATAATGCTCTGAACCGAAGGGGAATGATTATTAATATTACATTAATTAAGTAATCATTTTAATACAAGATGGATAAATTTTAAATAATTAACAATATTGATGCCAAATAATCAATACATTTTTCATAATATTTCTTTTATTTTATGAAATTGTTTGGCTTTCTATAAGCGTTTCGCCGTGAGGCAAAAACGAATAGTATATCCCTTGTTCTCTTTATTCAATTCGTTTTTTCCTTACTTCCTCCTCTCTCTAGATCTCCCTACCTCGCATTTAGTGACGATCAATAGTCAGGTCTTCACGGTCCTAGACCGGAAAAGGATCGATCATTTTTTTAAATAAATACCACGGTCCAGTTCGGTCCGGACAAAAGATCGAACCTTGACTACGTCACATCCTTCTTTCTCCCTCTTCATTCATTTGGTTCAGTTGTATAATATAATAATCATTATCCAGAATTTCTCTTATGGGGTAGGGGAAAGCATCATTAGGGGGTTGGTATTCCTCCCTCCTATGGATTTTAATGAAAGCCTTTAGGTATACTTAATTGTAAGATTTTTGGTTTATATAACATTTTTAATAAAAAATAATTTTATATTTTCACCCTTTTTTTTTCTCTAAAAAGTTTTAATAATAATAGTCGCCATTTTATAAAAAAAATTATATTAACTTTCTACTTTCAAATTATAGTTTCTAATATTGTATAAATTTTGAAAAAGGGCAGTGAAGTGTGTGTTGGGAGAAAAATTTTAATTCGCCTTTAAAAGTGATATTTTCAAACGACCACGACCCAGATTGGTAGCGCTTCCGGTCCGCAAAGCGGGCCCTTGGGCTCCAAGAAATCCGTCACTGGAACTGATGCTGATTTGAGAAAAAAAGGTATTCCGAACAAGGGGATTTTCCACTTCCCTTCGTTCCTTGGCTACGCCAATGATCATAATATAAATGATAATATTAGCAAATATAGAGTTAAAACCTCTCTGTTCATGAAGCAACAATACAACGACACGAAAAATCCCTGTGTTAAAAAAAAAAAAAGAATTAAAAATGAAATAGAAACACTTAGTGTTGTTAAAACGGCTCTTTTTGATCCGATTTTTTTAAAACGGCTGACTCAATATTCTAGCCAGAATGGCTCGAGATTTCAGTAATATATGTCTAGACCTTTGTTGTTTCCTTCTATGAGCAAAATCTTCAGGCTTACATAATATATTTCTGGATGAAATATTGAGTGAGTGCGTTTAACAACACTAGAAAAACACTATTTTAAAAAAGTAGAAAAATAAATATGAAAAGCAAAAAAAAAGATACCTTTTAAAAAATATTTGTAATTATATTATTTTTTTTTTGTAAATTAAAACGAAATCATGGCCATTTTATATTATTAAATTTTGATCATTATTTTAAGTCGAAATTTAATTTTTTTTAAAAATTCTCAAAAATATTAATTTTTAATTTTAAAACGCTTTATTTCGAAGGACACACTCATTCAAAAATACGCATGCGCGAATAATACATTTCCGGTATAATCAATTTTTTTTTAAAACTTTAAAAGATGGCGTTTAAATATTAACGTCAATGTATTTTTTTTAGCGCGTTTTTTTTTAAATTTAAAAATCTGATTCTGACGGAGATGTATTCCATCATGTTTGGAATACCTAACCTTATGAATTTCCTGTAAATTTTGTCAGGAACTTTTGAACTTAATATAATTTATATTAGATTTTCCATATATTTTTTCTATATAAATTATAAATGACTCAAAGGTTAACTGCAAAATTGTCTACAAATTCATAAGATAGGTATTCCAAACATGCTGGATTGCATTTCCGGTAAAATCAGATTTTTTTAAATTTTAAAAAAAAATGCGCTCACATTAATGATTTAAAATTGAAAAAAAAAATAACACATTTGAACGCTAACATATATATATAATTAAAAGAAAGAAAGAAAGAAAGAAAGAAAGAAAGAAAGAAAGAAAGAAAGAAAGAAAGAAATGATACCTGAGTCGATATCAAAAAGGGCATAATTATTTTGCGATAAATGGGATTGGGAGGTTGGTATAAGGTGATGAAATAGGTGATACCTAGATGGGGAATCAGGAATATGAAGCCTTTGAAAGATTTTCTTGGATGATTTAGTTATATATATATATATATATATAATATAGATGAAAGTGTAAATTAAATATAAAATCGGTTATTCTTTTCTTTCTTTCTTTCTTTCTTTTCTTTTCTTATCTTTTCTTTTCATTCTTTTCTTTTCTTTATTTCCTTTCTTTCCATCCCCTATTTCTCATTTTACTTAAATATTATTATACTTACAAATAATTTATATTCCCTGTGTTAGAATGAACCTTTTCGACCAACACTTTGACGATGCGGGCGAAGATAAGGAAATTTAACTGTATTTTAAAATTTAAAAAAAAAACAATTTATCGATATGGAATAAGATATATATATATATACACATATATATATATAATAACTTAATCTCGAAATGATTTTATAAAATGTTATTTTTTAACTACAAAATTGGAATTATAATCTTTCTTCCTTCCTTCCTTCCTTTTTCCTCCTTGCTTTCTTTCAGGTTAAGGAGACATATTTTTTTTAAAATAACAATAACTGGACAATTTTTATTACATAATTAACACTTATATAATTTTCATTAAAATGTATTTAATAGTGGCGTTGCAAATCAGCTGGTGATACGCCATCTTCGTCAATGTGTGTTTTTTTCTTCCCGGCAAATGTGTTATTTTTCTAGAGCATATTTTTAAATTTTAAAATTTGATTTTACCGGAAATGATTCTTATCATGTTCGGAATACCTAACCTATAACCTATAAATTTCACACAATTTCGCCGTGAACTTTTGAACGTAATATGATTTATATTCGTTTTTACATATATGACTAAAAAAGATTAACGGCCAAAATTGTCCACAATTCATAAGATTATGGATTCTCTAAACATTGCTGGATTTGGTGTTGTTAAACGGCTCGTATTGAGCCGATTTTAAAACGGCTAACTCAATATTTTAGCCAGAAAAATATTACTTACTCCTAAAGATTTTGATTAAATGTCTAAACATTTATTCCTTCTATGAGCAAAATCTTCAGGCTTGCCTAATATTTTTCTGGATAAAATATCGAGTTAGCCTAGCTAGCTGGAATACATTTCCGGAAAAATTAGATTTCTAAAATTTAAAAAAAAGGCGGCCTCTAAAAATGATTTAAATTTGAAAAAAAAATATATGACGTCGCCGCTAACATATGTATTAATTGCTCTGTATACTAAATATATAAACGAGCACACTTGGTGCTATTAAAAAAGTTACGAGTCGCTTACCCGGACCCAAAATTAGGATCATTTTTTATCCCGACCCAAAAAAGGATCTGGATTATTTTGACCCGATACAAAATTCGTCTCAAACTCAATCATGGTATATGGTTATATATTTTTATTGGGTAAGTTCTAAAATCGAATATATTTTCATCTTTGAAAGGGTTAAAATTAAAATATTATTTATTTTTTTTTGAAGATGAATCAGAACTATGGAAAAGTAAGCAATTTTCAATATATATTATTTTTATACCTTTTTTGGGTCAAGGTCGAAAAAACTACCCGAAATTCGAGTCGAAAGTCGCAAAAAAAGGCCCAGATTTTAAATCGAGATGGCTAAATTAGGGTTCGACTAGGGTCGGTATCGAGACAAAAACCGACACATAATATGTGTCAGCTGTTCAAGCCAACTCGGCTTAAATCAGGATTAAATAGGATATTAAAATTAAGTATACTATGAGGACTATGAAGATAGGAACGGTGTAGATATAATAAATCCTTGATTTCGAAATAAGCATACACCTTTATATATGTTTTTGTTTCGTTTTTTATTTTAAAATATATTAATAAATTAATAATATAAAGCAGAGACCTGCAAGAGGTACCATCAACTGCGCGGCCCGACCCGGATTTTTATTTTTTATAATATATTATATTTATTTTTAAATATTTGTAGCTAATTGATGGTCGATTTAAAATATTTGTTTCGGCTATATTTAAAATAAACCATGCAGGTCTCTGATAAAAAGCTTATTTTAGTGTATACCAATGACATATAATAATATCTAGACTAACAATGCATTCATTAAAAGTGTAACATCAATGAAAACAGCTGGGGACGCCATTTTGATTACCCATATCATCATTAAAAAAATTTAAACGAGAAGTCAATTTATTCCTATGTCTGACGCAAACTTTATTAATGAATTGCCCGATCATCGAGATAGCAAGGAAGCGAGTTATCAATTTAATAGTAGTTTTTTCATCTTGAGAATAATTACTATATGGGTTACCAAAATGGCGGGTACAGCTGATTTTCATTCAACGACGCTTTCAAATGCATTATTATGAATGCATCGTCAGTCTAGGTATTATTATATGTCTATATACAGTTCGAATCGAACTCAGTCGGGCTCGGATAGACTTTTCTTTTCGGTCGGGTCTGATTTTGACTGTACCTTTCACGAGGGGTGCATCCCGATCTACCATGGAGTGGGAAGGGGGTATGACGCAAGATCCTCATTGAAATTGAGGATGTAGTGGGGGGGGGGGTAGAAAGAACATTTTAAGCTAATATTTTAATACTAAATTTGCCTTAGATGGGTGGGGGTAAGGATTAAATCGTCATTGGGCTTATAGGGGGGGATAGTATTGAAATGTGCTCGGATCTCGGCAAATTTTAAATTCCATTTTGATAAAACTTTGATTTTTGTTTACACTGGTCTTCGGGCCAGACCGAACAACTTGTGGCTATAAGAGTAACGCGTTACTCTTTTAAAGTTACTTTTTTTTGAAATAAAGTTTACAAGTCACCAAAAGAAGAAAAAAATGTCATGTGATTTATATATATACATATTTCCGTGAATTTTCAGATCGGTGAAAGCCCACGCGCAAATTACGAGAAAGGGGGCACCTTTATATAGAGGTTTAAAAAAAATTAAACTTTGATGAATCGGTAATCTCAATTTAAGAAGAACTATCTGTGTATTGCCATTATATTAAAAAAACACATTTTTTTGGTTTAGTGTCCTCTTTCAAATTCATATTGTATTTATTTTCTTTCTTTCTTTCTTTCTTTCTTTCTTTCTAAATCTTGTGATGTTATTGATATTATATTTAGTGAAACTGAGTTTATTGGTCTAAAAATAATATTTTCATCTATAATGGTAAATTAAATGGACGAGTGATTTTAAAGAATATGAGTGGTTTTTTTTACCCCAGCCGATAGAAACTATGTATCGTAAAGGTATAATCTTGTGAGCAAAGCCGATGATGACCATTTGGTACATGAATATGCCCTCAGCTAACATCCAATAGAAATTTGCTAAGTAAAAATAGGTGTAAAATACCGAGATAGCGCTACACACTTTCTAAAAGAAAAAATAATAAATGTTTTTTTTTTCAATTTTAATTTATATACAATAATGTTTTATTGTATATTATTTCTTTCTTTCAAATTATTTCCTTCCCTTCTCCAATCCATTCAATCTCTTCTTTGTGCCTATATTATATATATATATATAATTTATTTTATTTTACCATGCGGCTATTCACGTTAAACAAGGAGAAATTGGTGTGAAAAAGGTGGAGTAATATCCATAGAATATCGCTCATGATAAAAGCTATGATCAAATGGCAATGGATAACGTTACGATCGCATCTGAGGCTTCTGTTGACATTGTAATGTTTTTTAAAAAAATGCCTTATTAATTCAGTACTCTAGTAGAGATATGTAGTTTTCGCTTGCCTTTTCTTTCTTTGTTTTCACTTTCTTTTCATAATTATAACTCTATTTATTTTTTTGAAACTCTTTTTGCGTTTTATTTCCAACTTTATCCAAATGTTTATTCTAAAAAAAAGAAGATGATCGGGGTAAAATGAACCAGGTCCACTCCACCCCAGTCTATTTTGAACCAGTAAAAATATCATTCTTATATATTAAAAAATAGAAATTAACTTGAAACGTGACAATATAATGAGAGACAAGCTCAGAGATAATATTGATAAGGCGTAGCCGATGTAATAGATAAGGACTTGTGTCGGGAAGGAGGATTTGTATTTCATCGCAATCCCTGAATTCGTCTAAAAAAAATTATCTTCGTTATCAAGTTAATTTTGTTACAGTTGAAAAAAAAATTTTGCATCGGCCGGGAATTGAACCCGGGCCTCCCGCGTGGCAGGCGAGAATTCTACCACTGAACCACCGATGCTTCTTATGTAAAATTAAATTTTATAAATTATATATTATATACATAAAGAATTTATCCATATTTTTTATTTAAAATATTATAACCAACTTTTATAACAATCTCTAATTTTTTTAAAATATCTTTTTATTTCATATTAATTAATCTCTTATTATGTTTTTTTTTACATCTTATCAATTTTATTAAAATATTATGTTTTTAAAACATGACAGGTGGGTAAATAGCAAATTTTATATTTTTATTTTAAATCTTCTTATATAACAATAAAAGCCCATTTATGTGCTATATTATTCACCCATTTAAAAAAAATATAACCCGCCTATACATGTAGTATGTAGGATAAGTTCAATTTTTGTTGTTGAGACGAATTTGATATTAGAAGCGACCAATGACATATAATACCCCTAGACTGTAGCGATGCATACATCAAAAGTGTACATAAATGAAAACAGCTGGAGAAGTCATTTTGATTACCCATATAATTATTAAAAATTTTAAACGAGAGACCAATTTATTTATACGTCTGACGCAAACTTTATTAAAGAATTTCCTGGTCATCGAGATAATAAGGAAGCAAGTTATCAATTTAATAGTAATTTTTAACATGCGAATAATTACTATAAGGGTTACCAAAATGGCGGTTCCAGCTGATTTGAATTCAACGACGCTTTCAAATGTATTATTATTATGTATACATCATGTGTCAAGGTATTATTATATGCCATTGGACGCGACACGCATTCCGCCGTAAGTTATCAATTTGCTTTTGAACTCTGTTCATTTATTTAAATTAAATGGATATGATCGTGATTAACTATGATCTAATCTATTAGGAATATGATGCAAGGAAGCAAACAACCGTAACTATTGAACCACATTAGCTAAGCGTAACACACAACCCGCCTACCCTTCTTTAGACGCGGAAGTGCCTAAGTTAAATATTTACAAGTTATAAGTGGGGGCTTCAAACTTTTTCCAGGGGAACCCACAAAATTTTTTTGCGTCTAGCCTCTGATCTCTGATTCTTTCTCGAATGTCCTTAGATCCTGACAAAATTATTAGGGAAAAAAACAATGTAGAAAAATTCGTAATCTAGAATTAATCTATCACAGACCACCACACACTCCCCCCCCCCCTCTCATAAAAGGAGGAAAAAAGATTCGATTTATTGCTTTGTAACATTAATTTCTTTTGGGTTAGAACCTAACTTTCCAGTGAAAAAAACTTTTTAAAAAAATATCATTCCCCCCCCCCCCCCCCCCGATATAAAAGATTATGACATTTTAGGTAAAATTTGATCAAAAATTTCTCTTTCTTTTTAAAGTGATCTTAAGATTTTAGCAAACACTGATAAAAAATGTGCCAAGGAATTTGAAACCTGATTAATAGTAATGAGTTGACAGAGAGAGTCGTTAGTGTAAGTTGACCAGGTGGCGTTGCTGAAGCATTTTTTGTAAGCGTTTTCTATAACGAATAGTAAAATTATATAAATTAAATATTATATACAAAAATATAATGTAAAAAATTATTCTTTTTTAAAGCCCCCCCCCCCCCCAAGAGTAAAATTTTCTTTCAATATGTAAATAAATACTGGTTAAGTAAATAAATACCGGTAAAGTAAATAAACAGGGGTAACATGGACGGCGCGGTAACTGTCTATAGAGGCCAGTAAGAGGGTTAAAAAAAACTTAGCATATTTTTGAATGGGCGGATGGGTGAAAAAAGAGAAAGAAAATTTTCACTTGATTCTTAACATATTTTTAAAAATAAATATTCAAATCCAAATCCATCACTAATTTATATCCTTCAAATTGTAGTGTTGTTAAAAAATGGCTTCCATTTAGCCAATTTTAAATTAAGATTTTAGCCAGAAATCTGCAGAGGTACCATTTGTAAAGTCCTACCCGACCCGTTTTTTTTTAAAAAAAATTTTCAGGGCCCGGGTATATTTAAAAAAATTAAAATACGGTCCGGCCCGAGGGCCTGCAGGTCTCTGATTTTAGCCAAAAATAGTATTATGCAAACCTCGAGATTCCGTTGATAGATAATCCAAACCTTGTCTACAATACTATGAGCAAAATCTCCAGGCATGTGTGATATTTTATTTAGGCTAAAATATTGGGCTAACCGTTTTCGAGTATAACACATTAGAAAGAAAGAAAGAAAGAAAGAAAGAAAGAAAGAAAGAAAGAAAGAAAGAAAGAAAGAAAGAAAGAAAGAAAGAAAGAAAGAAAGAAAGATTCTCTTCTCTTCTCTTTCACATTGAATAAAATGCTTAGCAAATTGTAGGGATAAAAAATTTTTTACATTTTTATGAGTAATAGTTAGACGAGCGGGCAGTTTTTTTAAAAAAAAAACATGGGCCGGCGGACGAGTTAAAAAAATATTTTGAAACGATGGCCGAGCGGATATTTTTTCCCAAAGGCTATCTATTGGCGGGCTAAAAAAAAATAAACAATGGTTTGGCGGGCTTTGTATTAAAAACCCGTTCCCCAAAGTTTTACGTACCACCACTACCATTGGAGTACTCCAGGTTACTCTTGTTGTTGACGGATCTATTTTCTTGATGACCTTTAGTCTCGATATCACATTTAGAGGTTCTTACCATATTCTTAAATTTATCGGCCAAGTAAAATGTAGGTTTTAAAATTGATCTTTCATCTTCGATTCGCCAAAAAAAAAAGGTCAGATTTGATAAACATAATAATTAACAATGATTATCAGCTGTGTCCAAGTTTCTCATTTTAAAAAATCGCGGTTTTAAAACATTGTCATTATTTAGGCAGAAATTTGGCTGAGAATATTTTCTAAAAATTTATTAAACGATCATCTATCTTCTTGTTCCCTATCGATTTGTAAGCATCTTTCTATAATAATTAATTAATTATTTTGACCTCTCATGTTATTTTCCCATTTTTCTTTTTCTCTACCTCTTCCACCATCACGATTCTCCTTCCTTTTCATCATTTTTATTAACCTCGTAAAATTCTATACTCCCCCCCCATCCCCTTTCCTCTTCCACCCCCCCCCCCCCCATCAATTCCCAAGCTAATGATGATAAAATTTGCCATATAAACGGAAATCCTAATCAAAACGACCTACCTATCCCCTCCAATTTTATTCAGATGACAGCGATAGCGCCTTAGTAATTATCAGAGACCTGCAGGCCCGGCCCTAAGCCCGTCCCGGGTACACGGACCGGGCCGTATTATAATTTTTATAAATAAACCAGGGCCGGGCCTGAAATTTTTCTTAAAAAAAATATCCGGGCCAGTTTATTTCAAAACCAATAATTTGAAAAAATCAAAAATAAATAAAATATATTTTTAAAAAAATCCGGGCCAAGCCGATAATAATTTTTGAAAAAAACCGGGCCGGGCCGGGCCGTATAAATGGTACCTCTTATCTAACCCTTTCAATTTCAATGACGATCCAACAACCCCGATCACCCATCCCCTACCTTTTTCTTCTTCTTAAAGCTAGTTTATTTAAAGAATTTTTTTTTTTTATGAATGATGAAAAGGCTGAATTAAAAATATTTATACTATTTATAATATTTTGCAATATTAATTATGAATCCACGTAAAAAAAATAATTTTTTTTTTTTAGTTTTAAATTACAAAAATGTTGATTCGCAAAAAATTAATTTTTTTATATTTTTAGATTTTAATTTTAATAAGCCAAAAAAGTAATGATAATAAATAAATCATTTAAAAATAATTGAATTATGGAATTGGCAATTTATTTATTTTTTTTTCTATCATTTATAATTATCTTCGTCACTTTGACACGTGTCAAATTGGAGAGGTATTTCAATAAAGGTGTGGTAGTAAAGAAAAGATTAAACTCCGCAGTGGCATTGTTGAGCTCCGACAAAAGTGAGTCTCTTCAAGTCGAAAGAACTGCTGATGCCTCTTCACTAGGTTTGGTTTTATTTTTTAGAAAAAAAACCGATTTTGATATCAATTTTCGGTTCGGTTTTTTATTCATGCCCTATATTTAAAAAATCAGGGGTGAACCGGACCGGTTTTTAAACCCGGGCCGAACAACCTTAGTAAAATATTGGAACCGGGTCGGGTGAAAACTAAATCCCAATCGGGCAGGATCTAAAAAAATTTTGCCATTTACAAGACCTCTAATGCAGATCAGAAACCTACCTTCATGGAGGCCCTAATTTTTTAATCAAGCTGGGCCTACGGCCAATGTTTATATTTTAAAAAATTCCCAGGCCCAAATTTTAAAAAAATTTAATTTATAAAAAAAATTAGCCACATTTAAGTGTATTTAAAGGGCAAACATTTTCTTTTTACAATACTGAAATTCATTATTTTTAAAAGAAAAATAAATAAATAGCAATATATTTTTAGCTTTAGCAACCGTTTTTAAAAATATGCTAAATTTAATTTTCAAAAACCCAAGTCCAGTCCAGGTCCGCTAAAAAAAATATATTACAGCCGGGTATGGACCGGACCGGCCCGGCCCATGAAGGTCTCTGATGCAAATAAATGCTTTCAAAGTAATTTTTTTTTTTAACAAAAAATATTTTATGAATTACAAGACAAAATAATATATTTGTAATTTAATTATTTTTATTTTTATTTTTATTTCGATTTTTCATTTTTTTTTCACCCTATTTTTAAAGATTAGAAAATAAAGAAAATCGATAAATCAGTGAACCTAAAAATCATTCGAAAAAAAATTAATAAATAAATTTTGGGACATAAGATTTGTTGAGAGGAAATTTAAAATGACGGATTCAAATTGTAACAAAAAAAAAACTAAGGAAAATTGACAATTTTCAAATGATTTATTGCAGTATTATTTGTACGTAGGAGTAGTGTTGTTAAATGGCTCGTTTTGAGCCGATTTTTAAAAACGACTAACTCAATATTTTAGCCAGAAAAATATGGCCTAAGCCTATAGATTTCTCTTAATAGATACCCAAACCTTTGTTCCTTCTACAAACAAAATCTTCAGGCTTGCCTAATAATATTCTAGATGAAATATCGAGTCAGCCGTTTTTAAAAATCGGCTCAAAACGAGCCGTTTAACAACACTACGTAGGAGGAGGGTTAAAGGTGAAGAGTGGTTAGAAAACTCCTAGATGGGTAAGTAATCCGTAAATGGGCGTTTCGGGTTAGGGTCGCTGCAAACAATCGATACCCCACCCCCCGTGACGCTTCATTTTGCGGATTACTAAGACTTACCTCTTAACCTAGCGGTGTTAAAAAACCGGTTTACGGGTCGAGTTTAACCGATTAAGATTTCGTCCAAAATAATATTACGCGAGGCCTCGAGATTTTGGCGAATAGATGTCCAAACCTTTCATACCAGTTATGAGAAGAAGAAAAAAAATTCTTCGCGCTTATACGTAATATTATTTTTGATTCGTAACCTTTTATCGGTTCGTTATTAAAAAAATAGACCCGAATCGGGTTAGGTTAAATATAGGTGTTAGAAAACTCCTAGTTGGATAGTGATCTGTTGTAAATGGGGCGTTTGGTGGTTAAATTCGCTAATTTTTTAAAAAGATTTGCCGGCCCGGCCCGAACTTCAAATTTTCGGACTGGACTGGACCCGGGCCGGGTACGGGCCTGGTCTTATTACTCCCCGTTAAAACAAATTTCATCGAGAAAAAAAAGTAACAAAATTTATTTTATTTTTTTTTTCTATAATAGGCAAGGTATTATAAAAATAAATTATTTTTATAAAAATGTTAAGGTAAAAGTACAGAATAACAAAATAGATAGGGTTGAGAGTTCACAATAAAGTTTTCGTTTGTAAACAAGTTTTTAAAAATATAATTTAAAAAAATATTTTAAAAAAAAAAAAGGGTTATTGGAAAACTCTGAGAGCAGAGAAGAAGATGATCGAGGGATATGTGGGAATGTTCGGGAAGAATGGGAAGATTGGAAAAATAAGGATAGATTCCTATATATATATATAAAAAACAAAAATGTCGGATAATTCTTTCGTTTTTTACCGGGAGTTTTTTTTTTGTGCCTTCCTCCGATAAAAATTTATGTGGAATTTTTAAGAAAATATTTCAAAATTTTAAGGAGAAAGAACAGAGATGAAAGATCCAAACAAGACCCTAGAAACCATTACTCCATATATTCTTAAGATGTAAAATTTTAGGAAACCTCAACCCCCCCCCTTCCCATTTTTTTTCTAAACAGTTTCATATAATCGGTGAACTGTTTGTGCCACCATTAGAGATCGGCGCGAAAAACAGGTCTCCGAATAAATTTTTTTGAAAAAGATTTTTCGACTCGACCCGATAAATTAATTACCCGATCCCAAAAATAATTTTGTACAAGTTATTCGACCCGGCTTGCAAAATCCTATAGACGGAGGATTTCCGGCTTCATTTTCAATGTCAGTAGAGTATCACACTATTAATTCCCTAGTGTCTGTACCCCCCCCCCCTTCCCCTCAACCCCCTATATTAAATAAGAAATTGATCACTGACTAAAGACCTCCTCCCCTCCCCAAGCTGTTAAGATTAGTCAAAATAATATTATGTAAGCCTTGCTCGTATATGGCAGAAATGTTTGCATCTCCCAGGCTAACATAAATATTTTGGATAAAACATTGATCGGGCCTTTTTTTTAAAAATTCGACCAAAACTCTGGATTGTTTAACAACACTACCCGAAGCAGTTAAAATATTTCGGCCGAATTAAACGGCTCGATTTGAGCCGATATTTGAAAAACGGTTAACTCGATATTTTAGCCAGAAAAAAATATTATCCAAGCCCTGAGATTTTGTTAACAGATGTTCTAAACCTTTATGCCAATGCCAACCTATGAGCAAAATCTTAAGGCTTGCAAATAATAATTTTCCCTAATAAAATATTGAATTTCCCCCCTTATTAAAATTAGCAGATTTGTTAAAGGATCTAGATACAAGTATCTAGATCCTGTATCTAGATATAGAAATGTGGTATCTGTATCTAGATAGATTTTTGATTAAATAATCTGTATCTAGATATTATTTTAGACGTTGTATCTGTATCTAGATCCATGTAAAATGTATCTTTTAACAACTCTGAAAATTTGGCTCAAAATGAGCCAGCCGTTTAACAACACTTAGATTTAAAGTTACAAAAATAAGGCATATATTTTTTTTTGTTTTTTTTTCAAAACAACCATTACCGATTTTAAATAATTAGCTTTTAATTTAATTTAAAATAAAAATTAATTTAGTTCGAAAATAAATTGAACCTGCTATTAATAAAACTAAGTTTGTAAATTGATGATTGAACGATAAAAACATTTAAAATTATTTTATAAAAATTATTTACCCAGCCCCGCTAATTTGTTGGAAGAAATTATTAGAAAAATAGTATAAAAAAAACGCGAGAGAAAAAAAAAATTAAAAACATTGTAAAATTTGTGTTGTTTTCTCAATATTTTAGCCAGAAAAAAAATATATTGCCTAAAAGACCTCTTTGTTCCTTCCTGTGAACAAAATCTTCTGGCCTTGCGTATAATATTTTTCTGGATTAAATATTGAGTTAGCCGTTATATTTAAAGTTCTTGAAGTAAATGGGGAAAGTGTAAGGGAAAAGGCTAAGGATATTATATGACAAAACAGATGAGAAAATACATATAGAACACTGTAATTCTACCTACCGAGAAGGGTTTAACTCTGTTAGCGGCTTCTCGTAGGCCCAATCTATTATTGGCTAGCTCATATTCTGTTCGATATTTTTTTTTAATTTTAAGACGTTAAAGGGGGGGGGGGGAGGCAAATGTATATTTGACAAATAAAACATGTATTTTGTTACAAGGAAAATTCAACATCAAAAAAAAACTTGAAAATTAAGAAATATAATAATTTTTTTTGAATTTAAATTATAAAAAATAAATAAATAGGAATATTATGATTTATGAAGTTGAGAGCAATTAATTTGATAAATTTATTTCGTATTATAAATAAAATCACGTAATTGGATAAATAAAATAAATAATACCTTTTAAAATAAAAAAAATTATCCATTTTATTTTATTATATCTTTCCTTCATTCTCTCTTTCTTTCCTTCTTTCTTTTTCTAAAAATAAAATTTTTTGGAAAAATATTTCTTGCATGGCAAATTGGTATATGCCAAAATAATTTATATTTATTTTTAATTATTTGAATTGATTCTTTCTCCTTAAAGCAAATAAAAAAAAAATCTATTTTTAATAATTAATTAATTAACTATTTTTGGCATAATTATAATAAAATATCATCGTTTCAACCCTACAAATCTATTTTATATATATAAATATATGATTAAAACTTAAATAAATATTACCTAAAAAAACTTAGTTATTGAATGAAGAAGATGGCATATATCTTTTTTTTAAAGGAAATTTTTCAAAAAATGACGTCTATTTTTATAATAAATATTTATTAGCTTCTATATGTTATTTATTTATTTATTTGTTTGTTTTTCAAAATCATCTTATAAAAAAAAAAATCAATTCCTAGAAATGTATTTTTTTTCCAGGAGCGAGCTTGCTCTGTAATTTTTAATAAAATTTTGCACTAATATTTATCAGAGAGTTGCAGGCCCGGCTCGGTTACATGAGCCGGGACTTTTAATTTTTTAAAATACCCGGGCCGGGCCGAAAAATCTCATTTTTTTTCACGTCGGGTCAGGCTGGGCAAATGGTATTACTGCAAGTCTCTGATATATATATATATATTTATATATTAGTTTGCCGATTGGAAAAATAATAACATTCGAAACTGAAAATCTCATCATTTCATATAGTCACCACTGCACAAAATTGTCTAACAAAATATTTTAAAATTTTGCAAGGAGAAATAAATAAATCTATATATATAAAAGGGAGAAGAATTTTAATAATTGGAGAATATAGATTATTAGTGTTCCGCAAAACCCGGCCCGAACCCGCTTTAAAAAAAATCGATCGGGTCGAGACGGGCCGGGTCGGGCTTGCATAATTAGACCCGATACAGAATCACTAAATTTGATATCATTAACTTGATTAATTATATGTCATGTACACACCTCCATAAATTATGTATAAAAAAATTTTACATTTTAACCCCCTCAAGGAAAAATGGCCCAAAAATTAGTTACGAGTTCTTGAACAAAATTTGTTTTATTAAAATGCTTTTTTTTGTGAGTTTATTAGGTATATCATTTTTTTGTAACAATTATAAGAATTAATTATCAACTCCAAATAATTTTTATCAGCGAAATTATTACGAAAGTGAAAAGGTTCCGCTAAACATTTTTTTTAAAATAATTTTATTAGTGTTGTTGAACGGCTCGGCTCGATTTTAGCAGATTTTTAAGAAAAGGCTAACTAACTTCAATGTTTTATTCAGAAAAATATTATGCAAGCCTAAAGATTTTACTCATAGTTGACGCAAAGGTTCATCTATTAGCGAAATTTCGAGGCTTTAGACAATTATTTTTCTGGCTGTAATATTGAGTTTTTAGCCGTTTTAAAAAAATCCTAAATTTTATAGACAAAAATGTGCAGGATAATTTTAGGCGAAAAATTTTTTTAAGTTTTAAGACAAACTTCGTAAATTATTAACCGGTTAATGACTATAAATTCAAATAATTTTACAAATACTTATTCTTTTTTATGAAATTATATTTATGCAAAGATGTTATGAGAGTTTGGTCGGGATTGGGATAAGGATCTTTGACCCCGGTTGCCGGTTTTCTAATATAATAATTTTACCCCATATCATTTAAATACATGAATTCTGGAAATGGGTGCTTTTGGGGGAATTGGGGGGGGGGGGTAGAGAGTCATTTGATTTTACAATTTCCGGTTTTACCCACCTAAGGAAAATGAGAAAGCGGAAGACGAAGAAACCCAGCCATTTTTAATTTTTAAAGTTTGGGTTCAAGTTCATTTTAAAAAAAAAAAAGACATAAATATAAAGTTATAACCCAAATCTAATTTAGGTCACATATAAAAGGTAAATAGATTTTTTTTTTAATTTTTGTTTTAAAAAATAAAAGGCAAATAAATGATAAAAAAAAATAAAAATACTTTCTTGCCCAAGAGGCACAAAAGTAATAAAAAAATTTTAAAAGAATATCCATCATATTCCATCATCCAGAAGAAAAAAATTTTAAATTCTACTAATTTTTTGTCCAGGATTTTTGTTATTTGGGATTCAAAATTCCTGGTTCCTTCTTCTGGTTCCTAAGAGAAATTGTAAAAAAAAATGTTGTTTTCAAAAAAATACTAATAGAGTGTTAGTTATTCAATCATTATGAAAGATAAATTGATAGAATAAAAAGAATGCTGAATATATGCTCAATAACTTATTCTTAACTTATATTACTATAACTTTGTCATGATAATATAAATAGTTGGCTAATTGCTCTATTCAAAGAATGATCTAAATGCAGTTTTTACCCGAACATATGTCATCTCAGCCTAGTGTTGTTACTCGGTTCGTTTTGGGCCGTTTTTAAAAACTGCTCATTCAATATATGAGCGATAAAAATATTGCATATGCCTCGAGATTTTGCTAATAGATGTCCAAACCTTTGTTCCTTTCACAAAACAAAATCTTCGGGCTTGCGTAATATCATCCTAGCTGAAGTACTGAGTTAGCCGATATTAAAAATCGGCTCAAAACGAGCCGTTTAACCACACACTCTCAGCCTAAATATGTATTATACAACTCTGCCGGTCCGTGCGCCCTTTAGATTAAGTTGGATTAACAAAACCGATATTTAGACATTATATATAACTAATTAACTTTTTTTTAAAATATAGTATACTGATGCCCCATCCCCCTTGTCCCTAAATAAAATTTTCTTAACACGTAGAAAAAGACGGGGTAGGGTGGGAGGGGGTAAATTGACTAAAAAAAATTTTTATATAAAATATTAAATAAACTTAGAAAAAATTAAATTACCCAAGGAATCCTGGAATAGAGTGCTATCGAGGAACGAAGAGCAAGATAAGCTAGCCAGAGACCCATTCGACGTTTCGGGCCATCGGATCGAATTTTGGTCCAAGAATGATTGGCATTTCAAGTTACTAGAATTCATTGTTACTGGGCGTGAGTTCTCCTTTTATTTATTTATTTCATTTGTTTTATTTGTTTTATAAATTTGTTTTCTTCAACATTTCTTTCGCGAGTATTTTAAGAAATAAATGCATTTATTCTCAGGTAAACACCTTTTTTTGAAGAAAAAAAAATTGTCACGTGTTTAATTTAAATATTTTAAAAAAGTAAAAGTGTTTGTTTACAAATTAAATTTATTAATAAATTAGTTTTAAAATTTTTAAATTTTTAGATTTTTTTTCCTCCGTTCCCCTTTATTTTAAAAGCTTAATAAAAAAAATTCAAAATTTTCTTTCTCTCTTTCTTTCTTTCTTTTCTTTTCTTTTCTTTTCTTTCTTTCAGTTAAGAAATAAAGAAAGATGTATAGGAGTAGTAATCTAATAAACAAGATATTCGATTTACCACTTCCCTTTTCCCCATTGTTTTTCGAGAATATGGCACAACCACTTCCAACCCTACAATAGATCTTATGAAATAAATGAATAGTAATTTTTAAAAAGTATGTGTGTGTGTATATATATATCTATATATCGGAGACCTGAAGGCCCGGTTTCAATACCGGTCCTGTCCGTTTTTTACATATACCCGGGGCGGGTCGGACCTAAAAATTGATTTTTTAAAAGACGTTGAGTAGTATATTTTAAAAGATACCTTTTAAATGGATCTAGATACAGATACATCGTCTAAAATAATATCTAGATACCGATATTTTAATCAAAAATCTATCTAGATACAGATACAGATACCACATTTTTATATAACAACTCTCGTCATTATCAACTATAAAAATTAAAAAAATATAATGAACATAAATATATTTTTTCTTTAAAAATCCGGGTCGAGCCCGAAATTATATAGATAGAGAGAGCTGCGCCGAAAAAAATATTTTTTAAAAAAATCCGGACCGGGCCGAAAAAAATAATTTCTAAAAAATCCGGCTGGGCCGGCCGGCGGCCTACCGTGCACATGGTGCCTATTACATAAATTATGCTCAATATTCATTAAGGAAGGTGGGTAGTGTTGATATTAAGGGTTTGATTTTTTCAAAATTTTCTGTTAAATCCTTTATATATTTCGAAAATTTTTAAAGCACGTAAAAAAAAATATATACATATTGATTTTTTAAAAGCGTTTTCGATTATGAGTACCCATCGAGCGCAGACAATATTAGAAAGGTCTAGTGACGTCTCCAAATCAAATTTATTACAAATTTATTACAATTTATTACAATTTTATTTTTAATATAAAATAAAAATAATAATATCGTGTAAAATAATGATCTAACTTAAATTCTAAAATATTTATCCTAGAACTAGTGTTGTTGTTACGGCTAACTCGTTTATTGTAGCCATAAAAAAATATTGTTTAAGGCCTCGAGATTCCGCTGAGAGGTGCTCAAATTGTTGTGCCAACGTTGAGCAAAATCTTCAGCCTTGCGTTAATATTATTCTGGATAAAATATCGAGTTAGTCGGTCTGAAGATTTTACTCATAGAAGGAATTTTGAGACTTTGGGAAATATTTTTCTGGCTTAAATATTAAGTTAGCCGTTTTAAAAAAAATCGGCTTAAGTAGAGCCGTTTAACAACACTAAAAACGTGACATAGTTAGATTAGATTTTTTTTTTATTTTAAAACAAAACTCTAAAAAAAAATAAATAAAAAGAAATTAATATTTTAAAAAAGTTAAAATAAACATTTTGAATTTTAATTTTTTTAAAAAAAAAATAAATAATATTTTTGTTTTCATTGAAATTTCGCCTATTAACTAGCTAGCATAATCTTCGAGAGAAAAAAAAAAGGAAAAATTTAAGTAAGCAATAAAATGTATTTTAAAAAAGATAATAATTAATCCTGTAAACAGAAACTTTATTTAGAAGTAGTGTTGTCCTAATGAACAAAATCTTCGGACTTGCGTGATAATTTTTCTGGATGAAATGTTGAGTTTGCCGGTTTTAAGAAATCGGCTCAAAACGAGGCCATTTAACAATGACTAATTTGAAACTGATAGATTTTCAAATAGTAATAACAACTAAAATTAGTGTTTTGACAAATGACGGCTAATAGTGTTGTTAGAGGGGGCTCGATCCGAGCCCGTTTTTAAAAACGGCTAACTCAAATTTTAGTGTTGTTAAACGGGTTTGATCCGAGCCGGTTTTTAAAAACGGCTAACTCAAATTTTAGTGTTGTTAAACGGGCTTGATCCGAGCCGGTTTTTAAAAACGGCTAACTCAAATTTTAGTGTTGTTAAACGGGCTTGATCCGAGCCGGTTTTTAAAAACGGCTAACTCAAATTTTAGTGTTGTTAAACGGGCTTGATCCGAGCCGGTTTTTAAAAACGGCTAACTCAAATTTTAGTGTTGTTAAACGGGCTTGATCCGAGCCTTTTTAAAAACGGCTAACTCCAATTTTAGTGTTGTTAAACGGCTCGATTTGAGCCGGTTTTTAAAAACGGCTAACTCAAATTTTAGTGTTGTTAAAGGGGCTCGATCCGAGCCGGTTTTTAAAAACGGCTAACTCAAATTTTAGTGTTGTTAAACGGGCTCGATCCGAGCCGGTTTTTAAAAACGGCTAACTCAATATTTTCCAGGAAAATATTGTCTAAGACTTAGAGATTTGGTTAATAGATGTTCAAAACGTTTGTGCCGCCTATGAGAAAAATCTTAAGGCTTGCTTGAGTAATAATTTTTCCGGATGAAATATTGAGTTTGCCGTTTTTAAGAAATCGGCTCCAATTTAGCCAAATAAAAAAATATGTTTCGCGCGAAAAACCCGATGATATATTTTTTTTGCACATAAGAAGATGGTACAAAGGGTTTGGACTTTAGCCAGAAAAATATTGCCTAAGCCTCGAGATTTATCTGATAGATGTCCAAACCTTTGTTCCTTCTACGATCAGAATCTTCAGGCTTGCGTAATATTAATCTAGACGAAATATTGAGAGGGTAGGAATATCCATCAAAGATATGAATTTTGTCTAGAAAATCTTAAATTTAAAAATAAGCTAACTCTAACCCTGACATTCACAAGTTAGATGTGAATTCGCGGGGAAAGTATTTGGCGCGAATGCAGGATAAGAAAAAGATAAAACATATGTAAATATATAATATAATTTACCTTGTTAATTTTTTTTTTCTCTTCTTTATCTCCGTTATTTTTTTTTACGTTTGCCAATCTTTGAATAAATTGGATTCTTTCGCGAAGGATAAAAATTTGATTTTAATTATAAGCACCATCGGATTCAAATAAAAAAAAATTGATTTTAATTATAAGCACCGTCGATTGATTTAAAAAAAATGATATTTTTTTTTTAAAAAAAGGAGAGATCAAAATATTTAAAAATAGATTTATTTTTATCTTTTTTTTAAAAAAAAAATATTATATTTTTCTTTTATTTTATTTTATTTTATTTATTTTATTTATTTATCTTATTATTTAATATTTAATTTTTCTTTAAAAAAACAAATAAAATATATATCAGCAGAGACCTGTAGGCCCGGCCCTAAGCCCTCAGGTACACGGGCCGGGCCTATTTTAATTTTTTTAAATAAACCCGGCCGGTCCGGACCGGGCCCAAAAATCTTTTTCGAAAAAAAAATCCGGGCCGGGCAGTGCAAATGGTACCTCTGCAGGTCTTTTTATAAATAACTTAAATAGTTCTTCCCTTTCCCCCAACTTCCTATTTTAAAGAAATTAGCTAAGAAAATTTCTCACCCCGCATGTATGAATTCAATGTTGTCGAATGAAGGTATGACGTCACCAATTCGGGCGAGAAAATTCCTAGTTAATTTCAGCTATCTGTGTGGGTGGGGTGGGCGCGGTATTTAATCGTAGGTTAAAATTTAAATTATGATCGGTTTTGGCTCGAAATCTACCCGTCAGCAGGCCCAGAACCCGGTATTCGATAATAAAAATCCGGCCCGAAAAAAATTTAAAAAAAATATATATTAATTTAAAATATAAAAGATAATTTAATCAAGAAAAGTTTATTTTTATAATGAAGAATTTTTAGCAAAAAAATAATAAATATTTTTTTTTAAAAAAAAATATGTTTAATTTTTTAGCGTCAATATGTTTTTTTTTCAGTCAATGTCTTATCTTTTAAAATTTAAATTAATATTTTTTTTAAAAATAAAAAATCATTATATTTGGAAATGTGTAGAAATACATAACTCAACTTTTGTGCTTAATATTAGTGTTGTTAAACGGCTCGTTTTGAGCCGGTTTTTTAAAAATGGCTAACTCAATACTTCCAGGAAAATATTATCCCAACCCTGAAGATTTTGCTCATAGAAGGAACAAAGGTCTAGACTTAGCCATTATTTTTCAGGCTAATGAATTAGCCGTTTTTTAACAACACTACTTAATATAATTATTTATATAAAGTTTTTCCGTAGATATTCGAAATTCGTAGAGTTATGTATCCTGAACATGCCTCGTTACATTTTCGGTAAAATCGTTTTTCCTTGAACGCACTCAAAAAGTGATTTAAAGTTGTGAAAAAAATAAATAAACACAAAAAACGCTAGCATATTATTTAACCAGAGCTCCAAACCGAAACTAGTATCGGTTCGGGTTCAGGTTCGGATAAAAATAACGGTTCAAGGTTCAGGTTCGGTTAGTAAAAAAATTAAAATATCGGTTCGGGTCGAGCCTTTAATATTATTAACCGTCAAGGCCTTTGTCATGAATAACGAGTTCATGGGTAATTTCGCACAAGAAAATAATTAATCAAAGCCTCTAAGCGCCACGTTGGCCATGAGGGGATCTGCACGATCGGGTGAGCTCGGAGAGACCGCCAACTCGGTGGGACCGCACCTCGATTTAACAGTTATTGTTTGGGCCGAACACGGGTCTCGACATAATTTTAAAATTCTTACCATTTTCTTTTCGAAGTCGCGAGTATATTTTTTTTGGCTTGTAATCCTTTACCCAATTCTTGAAAATCTGTATACATTTTAATCGGCCCATTCCTTTTTTTTTAGGAATAAGAAGATCGGACTTGAAAAAAATAAGGCAGATTGCCGGAAGCTAAAATTTAATGTAAGTTCTAAGCCACATAACCCCAGGTCCACTCTACCCCATCATAATTTAATGTTCAAATTTTTGGCCTTTAAAATATCCTATTTTTATTGGTATGTTATTTATAAATGGCGGGTCATCATATTACCATATTGGATATTTAGTTATAACGACGGGATGTTGCCATAGTTTAAACGAAAGTTTTCAAGTTCAAACCTCGATTTTGACAATAAAAAAAAATTTCAAGTTTTTCTTTGATGATTGATGAGCAAATACGTGTGAAAAGATGATTTACCGAGCTTAAAAATCACCCCGGTCACTGACAGGCTTGGGTCGCAGCTGGATGTTAAGATATTTGTCCGTTCAATCAAAAATGGATTATAACAAAAATTGTAAAAAAGACACTGTGATGCGATAAAGAAAGAAAGAAAGAAAGAAAGAAAGAAAAAAGAAAGAAAGAAAGAAAGAAAGAAAGAAAGAAAGAAAGAAAGAAAGAAAGAAAGAAAGAAAGAAAGAAAGAAAGAAAGAAAGAAAGAAAGAAAGAAAGAAAGAAAGAAAGAAAGAAAGAAAGAAAGAAAGAAAGAAATAAATAAATAAATAAAAGGAAAGGAAAGGAAGAAAGTTTCGTATGAAATCCACCTTGTTTCTCTCTCGTTATATTTTTCCCATCTGGGTATGAGGGGTTAATATTGTTTTCAATAATAACTCGAAGTTTGTATTCAATCATATATTTTTTTTTGCTGCCATTGCAATTTGCTATAAACAGAAACGATTTTAATTTAAAAAACATTTAATATTATTTATATAAAAAAAAAGTATAATAATTTTTTTTTATTTTTTCATTATATTATATTTTTAAAATAGATATTATTAAATCTTAATTACTACTATTAATTACTATATTATATTAAAATGTAAATAAAAATTAAAATTTCGTACAATTTTTGTTTTTCAACAAATAACTTTAAATTTGTATATTTTTATTTTATAAATATAATATAAAACAGAACATGCCACGGGGAAAGGGGGTGGGGCGATTAATTAATATATATAATTTTTTATAATTTTATCAGACCTGCAGAGGTACCATTTGTACCACCCGGCTTGGCACGGATTTTTTTATAAGAAATTTTTTCGGCTCGGCCCGGATTTTATTTGAATATATTTTATTTATTTTTGATTTTTACAGCTAATAATGTTGATTTAAAATATCCGGCCCGGTCCGGATATTTTTTTTTTAAAAATTTTTTTAGACCCGGCCCGGGCAAATTTAAAAATATTTATCCGGGTCGAGTTTAGGGCCGGGCCTGCAGGTCTCTTAATTATATTAATATAATCTGAATTAAAAATTTTTTTTAAAATATATATCTTAAATTTATCAATTTTATGTTTGAATTTTTTTATGTAAAATAAAAATACGTGATTTTATTTATAGAAAGTAGACGCCGTATAACATATATCGTTTATTTTGAGTAATTATAAGAATTAATTTCTATATTTAAATAAATTCGGGCCGGGCTTGAAAATTAGGCCCGATGTAGATCACTAATAAATATATCAAATAATGTCTGGTTTTGAAAAATGGTATATTATTTCTACTTCTTCGAGAACCAGCGCAAAGGGAGGACTAAAATTTTAATCTCGACAGATCTTTGACGATATATAACGAGAAAAAAAAAATAATCCCTTAAAATTACTTTATCTATTTAACATTTACTACTAAGACCCTTCCATTTGTTTTTCGAACCTTCATTAATCACTCTATAATTAACTTCTTTCTAACTGCCAACCCATATATTTTTTTTATGGAAAAAAAAATCCCTTAACTTCTTGGAAAGTGTGTATACCATGCTAACAGGAACTGACTATGTTTTCAGTCGAGAAAACCTCATCATAAACTTTTCCAATATATTCTATTTCTTTATTCCTCTCATTCATATGGGCCTAATCGAAAATTATTAGAATCGAATGCAAATAGTTTTTAAAAAAATTTCTATAACGAATAATATATATTGTACATATGAACTATTCACAATATTTTTGAAAATCGTAAATTTTGGCATTACAAATACTCGAAATATTTATTGTAATTTTATAAGAAATGATTGAAAACCGCTCCATTTTTAAGCCCATTTTTGAAAAAGGGCTAACTATTTTAGATAGATAAAGTATCGGCCCAAGCCTAGCAACTTTCATCAATAGATGCTCAAACCCTTGTGCCCATCTCAGAGTAAACTCTTCAGGCTTTCGTAATATTTTTCTGGATAGAATACTGCAGTTAGAAATTCGGCTCAAATGGAGCGATTTTGCATCACTATTTCAGAAGTATACATAATATTCTAATTCGTAATTAAATCCTTTTTTTTTAAAGTAAGTTTTATTATTCGATTAATTTTCCGGAGGTTCTCATGTTGATTACGTATATTGACTCTATGATAACCCTTCCGAAATTTCACTGATGCAATATTGCGTAACCAACCCCCTCAATTGTCATTTTTTTTTTCGTGAAAATAATGATATTTTACTTCACTTTATCCTACTATCTATCTCTATTAAAGTTAATATACGTATGATAATGTTTAAAAAAAATTATTTTATATAATAAATCATCTACCATATTTCCTTAGGTTATTATATAAGTTAGGTACAAACGTAAAAAGTATCATCATAATTACTAATCGATGTTTAATATACATTAAAAAAAATGTTCGAAAACGATGAGGGGTTGAAAATGAGAAATAGTTGGTTTAGAAAATTAAAATAAATTTATATTAGGCTGTGTCCAAAGTATCAAAAAAATTTAATCGCGCAATTCGCGCAAATCTAGCGAAAAAAAAATATAAGCCATTTTTAATGGAAAATTAAAATGTTGACCTAAATGATTTTTTCAAATTTCTTTAAATATTAAAAAATGATTTAGGCCAAAATTTTAATTTTCCATTAAAAATGGCTTATATTTTTTTTTTCGTTAGATTTGCGCAAATTGCGCGATTAAATTTTTTTGATAATTTGGACACAGCCTTAACTAACAAGATACTATATTATTATTTTTAGTAGTTTTACTTTTTCAAATGTATTCAGATACAGATACATCGTATAAGAATATATATTATTTGGATATAATTTTATTCAAGATACTTTTATATTTTAATCAGGGGCCCGGAACAAGGGCATTATTGCGTTCCCGTTCCGTTCCGGTTCTGTTCCAGCTTTCGGAAAGTTCTGGAAAATTCCTAGAAAAAAATGTCTAAATATATATTTTTTTTAAATCTACACTTTTAAAATTAATCTTAATTTAAATCATTTGAATGAATCACTTATTACATCGAGACGCAATAATATATATTTTTCTAAAAGATTATCATTTATCTTGGTTCTTTGTGTTGGTGTTAGCATAAATAAATAAGAAATTTATATATATATATTTATTAGGGACTTTCAGTTTTCATGTCTTTGATTTTTACTATGTAAAGATGCATATAGTGTTGTTAAACGGCTCGTTTTGAGACAAGATTTTAAAACGGCTAACTCAATATTTTAGACAGAAAACATTGTCCTAAGCCTCGATATTTCCAAAATATATGCCTAGACCTTTGTTCCTTCTATGAGCAAAATCTTCAGGAGTGCGTAATATTTTCTGGATGAAATATTGAGTTAGCCGTTTTTAAAAATCGAACAACACTAGATGAATAATGGCTAATTTATGGGTATATAATATATTATTGGTAAAAATTTAAATTTTTTTAAATGAGTTTAATAAAAAGTTTATTAAGTTGATATCTTATCCGAAATTATTAAATATCTATTTTCAAAAATATACGTTTTAACAAATTAAAAACATATATATGAATGTATATATTTTTTTTAAAAAAACGATATAAAATACAAAAGTGTATTTTTTTTAAAAAAAAAACAGAAACAATTAAGTAAAATATAATTTTAATAAAAAAAAAGGTGATTATATGTTTAAGTAT